TTTGGATTGAGTCCAAATATATGTATATATCCAAAATAAAGCTACTTGAATAAGGACATGAGAATGTGACAGAGCAGCACATCTCCAAATATTGAACATATATGCTCAAGCATTTCTATTGCTATAAAATTATTTCTATTTCTATTGTTATTCCTGTAAAATGATTACAGGAAAAACATTTTCACACTGGGATTTCTGTATTTTCATCTGACTAGAAAATTAATAATAATAACTATGCTTTTATATACTGCTAAAATAAAATGTATCTACTCTGTAGGCAGCAAGTTTATTGCTGAATATAAAAAATTATGGACAATGATGAAAGATTCTGATATTCTAGTATTGCTATATTTAAAGGATAGTCAGGAAACATTAAGCAGATGGGATAAAATTTATAGCACAATGGGTCAAGGTTCAAGTATGGAAGGAACCACAGACTTAACAGAGCAGGAAGAAAATACAGATCCTTTTTTTGCATATATATATATAGCAATGCTTTAGGGAAGGTTTCATTTTAGAGAAAACATTACCAGAACTCCTACATGAGACTTTTCTCATGTTGCTATTATCTATACTGAGCCACAAATCAGTATCTATCTCTCCCAGATTATCTGACTAAGCATTTATATTAAAAGTACTCAGTACCTGAAATTTAGTCAGTGACAAGAGCAAAGCTGGAAGGTGGCAGTATTTCCAATGGATGTACTGCAAGTAGCATTTGCACATTATATCCTTCCAAAGCTTCATGAATCCTTGGAAACACCCTAAAAAGCTGGAATATACCACACACAAAGTGTTTCTACATCTGTACACTTCAGCACTGATAAAAAAGATCTTTTCTGGTATTGCTTCCTTTACTACTAAGATTGAAGTGTCAATCCAGATTTTTATTAGATTGAAAAAAAACCTATTTATTGGGGAACATACTGCACCCTTGTGCATCATTGCTCATTTGTGGTGCTACCATAACCCAGAAAACAATACTTCCTATAGGTACTTCCTATACCTGTGCACTCAGTACCCAAAACTACATCAGCTTTCCTTGAATGAAAATGTAACAGTAATTTGATTAACTGAAAAGAGTGTGAATGAAAATCCCTGAGAATCTCGAAATTTATTTTCTTCTTAAGATACAGCAGCACATACTTCAAATCCAAAAGGTGATTTCTGAAAACTTTTAAGTTTCTTAAAACTTACCTCATAGGAGGTACAAATCAGAGACAAAGTACTCCTTAGTGCTGGGGGAAATAGAAATGTTGCTTGCTTCAAAATGTGAACAGAAGAAACTTAATGAACTTCCTTAGCCAAAGGCTTGTTGGTATATTGAGGAGACAACAAGCATGGGAGATGCCTAAGACATGCTGCATCCTGTTGATCAGAGAAGACTTTCAACACAATTTGTTCTGGACTGTCCTCAGTCTCACCAGAGGACAAGTAACCTTGCCAAGTGTGATAAACATGCAGGTGACTGTCACAATTTCCCCGTCACTGTACACTGTCACTATAAATGACACAGTAGATCATCTCACTAGGTCCTTGTCTACTCCTTCCCCACTTACTTGACATTATTCTGAGCATTTCTAAGCTAATTTTTATTCACAAAATATTATGGCCAGTAATTCTAGCCCTTTTTCTGGAACTCTTCACTGATCTGTGCTTACTTTTTCTCTCCTTTTTAGGCTTTTTGCTTGTTGTGGCTTCTTCCTTCCTATGTTTTCTCTCTTGCTCCTGGCAACTCCTTCATGGCTTTCTTTACAGACAATTTTTCTGTTCTTTCTTACCCTGCAATCTTCTCAACCTTCTGCTTCCAGTTCTACATCTTATCTTGGAGCAATGCTATCCAATCTCCCAATTTAATTGTGTGATGACTTAACTATTAAAATCCCACTCCTGGCCTATCTCCTTCCATCGAATCTACACAAAAACATGAGTGCCTAACATTTCCAGAGTGCTCACAAAACTTCTGCCTATTTTGGCTACAATTACCTGCTTACTTTGTTATTTCTTAACTTCAGTAATTTTCTTTGCTTCCTGTAACAGTCAACCATCACTTTCTGTTACATTTTCACAAAAGCCTTTGTTCATTCATCTCTTTCCTACTAACCCACTCTGTGTTACCATTGAAATTCTTGCCTGTGCTCTGAAGATGTTTTATTTGGATTTCAGCTCTCTCTTTCTTGACCTTCTCTGTTTCATCCCCTTTTATTCTCTACAGACATTTTACAAATCAAGTAAACCCAGATTTTCTGCTTACTGAATTCATTTTACCACCTACTTCTCTGGAAGTATCCATAACTCAAAAAACCAAACTCAAAATCTTTCATGGTCCCAGTTAACTATTTCAGTGAAGTCCCAGAGGGCTAAAGCCCATCTTTCATTTCAGAAAATAGGAATAGAAGTATTGTAGAACAAGTTGGTCTTAACACAACTATTTATTGAAAACACATGTAAATTTGATACGAAACTTGCAGAATGGGCTAAAGTAGGATGACAAATAACTTTTGAAAGTGTATTGACCTACTCTCAGATAATGCCTGAAACCTAACAGAACAATATAAATATACTGCAGTAACTTGATAAGCTGGTTTATGGGGGTTTCTCTTGGGTTTCACTAACACGTCTGCTTTCAATTACACAGATGAAAAACAAAGAGCTTTAACATCTTGCTCTTCTCCTGATTGCAATAAAATACCACTTCTGAAAATGGCCACTTAAAACAAAACTCAACTAAAAACTCAACCAAAAACTAATTCAGAGGTAGCACTCATGTTTTAGAACTGGTAGTATGTGATTTTTTGGGGCAGACTTTATGGTAACACACAAGAAAGCACAGATTTGGCCTTTTATGTGTCCTACCTCCACCCATATACTTCTTACAAATGTACTGTTATAAAAGCACATGTAAAAATCATAATCTTAAAATAAAACTCATTCCACAAAGTCAGTGGAACATTTTCTTTATTACAACAGTAAGCTTCCCCTGAATAGACAAGCTTCCAGATGTTTAGTGAGTTAAAACTGTGCCTGTAGTACCAAGATGTGCCAAAGAGAGAGCTACAGGATGAACTATTAATACACTGACTGGCCATGGTGGTGGAATTAATCTTCTTCATTTTATGGTAGTTGATAGGTGTTAAATAATGCAATGTTTGCAGTAAAACAAAGTTGCATCATGAAATGTTTTAAGATCCTTACTGTTGCAAAGAATCATGTACATACCCTATGTCAATGTGCACTGGGCAGTTCCCCTGAAGGCAGTCCCTTCAGTTTCTTCAGAATGAAGACTTTGAGAGCTACTGATGATTTGGTGATTCATTAGTAAGGAAAAGCAATTAAGAAAACTGATGGTGACAAATTCAGAAGAAAACTGTATTTCATAAATACGCTATCCTAGTAACTTGTCAATTGTATCACTATAGCACATAGGAGCTCCTCTTTGCTCCAAGCCCCTCATTCCAGACCTGCAGGGGAGCACAGGCTCTGCCCCAAAGACTTCAACAACATGACTTCACCATGTAATTACTTCATTTACCTCCAAAACACAGATTATTATTCAATATTGATTAATTATTTCACCCTAGTGAAGTATATTCTTTAAATGCTGATCTCCTAAGCAAGGATCCTCACCCGCTTTCAGACATTTAAGTCTAATTTTATCCAGTGTACTGTTCAGCTTTAAGAAATAGAAATTCTCAGTCAAATTAGAGTATGGATTCTAATTTGGAAATCAAACCCTGATATATATTTTACTGATAATTTTTGTGTTAAAAAAACTTTTAAAAAACTGAAGCTATAGAGCTAACGCCTTCCCAGTTTTCTAAAAAGTTATCCAGTAACTAAGGTTAAATGTACAGAGGTTACAAACTGAAATTATCCATGTTCTGCAATAATGTTGAATGCTTAAAATTACTATGCCTGCTCACTGTGACACATCAAAGCCACAGTTTTGCTGATGTGCTCTGTTGTCTAAGGCAAAGTAGGAGCTATTTTGATTCTGGAGGTGAATGCCGGTCTTCTGACCACCTTGTTGTGTCCCTCTTTAAAATGAGCACTAAAATCTCTTTACAAAGCAGGTATTTTGACAGATATCTGTGACAAGTGCTCTGCTATATGAAAATCCAAGGCTCAAGACACTGTGATAGTAATAAATTATTTACTTCACTGGCTTTGTCTGCCTAGGCCAGTGACCATGTGTTTCCAAGTACTTGCCTAGAGTGTAATGAAACCTCAATGGACCCCTTGGGGTTACTCTAATGGAAAAGTCACTTACCTGTTAGCTGTGATAAATTCATTATCACCAGAGGACAAATACTTTCTTTGTCACCTCCTACAAATTAAGATTTGCATGAGATTTCTACAATGAATTAATAAGTTCACATCCTCTCTTCAGACAGAGATCAGGAAAAAAGCGTGCAGTACGGAAAGGAGTCATGGCTCGGATCCAGATCCCTGCTTTCAAAAGCAACCACATCACACGGTACCACTCGCACACGCTCCACGTTTTCTCTCCAAAAAGCCTGCATCCTTTGCTCCGCTATTCCTCCCTCTCCTCCGGCATTCCTGAGCCGCGGGCGCAGTTTCCCGTGCTTTTGGGGTGCAGCTGTGTGTCCGGCAGACCGGAGCCCACGCCTGCGCTGCCCGCCGGGCTCGGACCCATCACCAGGCGCGGTGCCACCGCCGGGGACGAGGGGCAGCGCGACGCGTCGCGATTCCTGCCGTATCCACCGGGCGGGGGTGTCCGCGGGGCGACCCCGCTCCCTTTCCCCGGGCACAGCCCGTCCCGTCCGACAGAGCTCCTCGCACCGAGCCCGCCCGGGGACAGCGGCGGGGGCAGCACACCACGCCTTTCTGCTCACTTGGACGTGGCAGCGGCGCTTTAAAGCCTGCCCGGAACGTGCAGGGACGCGGGGAAGAAGGGGGCCCCATCCCCATCCCGCGGCAGCCCATGCCCGGCAGAGCGGGGCGGCTCGGGGGCTGGAGCCGCTCGGCTTGTCCCTTACCTTGTCCCCGGAGCGAAGGCAGCAGCGCCAGGAGCAGGAGCAGGGGCAGGGGCAGGGGCCCGCCGAGGTTGTCCATCGGCGGGGAGCGCTCGCTGCCAGCGGGGCTCGGCTCTCCTGAGGCGTCCGGCGGGCTCTCCCTTCTCGCTCGCTGCTGCTGCTGCTGCTGCTGTCCCAGCCGCCCAAGACCGGCTGGAAAAGAGCTCGCAGTGAACCCCCCGCTCGGTGGGCTTTACAAAGATTTAATTCAGTGCCTGCCCGCTTAATTATACAGCCTGCAAGTGCTCGGCAGAACAGAGCCGTCAGCGCAGCTCGGAGGCACGAAGCCTGGTGCCTCTGATACCCCGCCGCCCCCACACGCTCTGAAAGTGACTCCTTGAGCTCGGGAAGCTGCGGATCCTCAGCCTGAACCTCGGCCCGCCGTGACTGATTGTGTGAAAGAGAAGTGCAGCGACTTCTCTCGTTTCCAAGTAGGGGAAAGCCACAAACAAAGGCAAGGCAGAGCAAAATAAAACAAAAGAAACCACCTAGCAGAGGTTTAACCTCTAAAGGGGAGATATTCAACCCCCCCTTCTAGGTATTTCCGTGGATTTTACCCCAAGACAGCTTTTGTCAGTCAGATATGATTTTTAAAAGGAGAGAGATTCTAGAATCTTTCAATGAAATTCATCGGGGAAAATAAAAATCCCTTCTTCCCTCCCCCTACTCTCAAGAAGTCAGGATGAGAATTTCAACCCAAATGAGGCAGCTCTGCTTTCTCTCCCCTCCCTTCTTTTTCATCTTCTTCTTTTTTTTTTTTTTTTTTTTTTAACCTCCTTATCTTATTTAAACAGGAACACAAACACTGATAGTGGTCAGAGGACCCAGTTGGCAATGCTGTTGCTGAGATCTTTTAGATAATGGGAGGGATAATATTTGCATGGAGATGGAACACACAGAGAGTTCAACACCCCTGTATACTTTGCCCTCGATTTTACACAAACAAAGGGTTGGAAGTCATTGTGTGTTTGCCTCCAGGTTGTGCCACGCGGAGTCTGATTGGGCTATTCCTCTTGTAACTACTCAATAATGCAACTTTTGAGTATTTCCCCTCAAAATGTCCAAATGGAAAAAGCGTTTAAGGCAGTAAGAGTTGAATGTGTGTTTTTCCTCCACACCAAGTTATTTGAACTTTTCTAACACAAGAACATAAATACCACCATAAGGCCAAGAGTCCAACTATCTCAATAGCCTGTCTTCAGCCACAGTTGTAAAGTAGTGGAAGAGTGGAATAAGAAAAACACACGTGGTAATTGTCACAATTACTCGCCCAGCCTTCAGTTCCTTTGAGTTTGGAGCATTTCCTCAGTGAAATGTGGTCTATGTGTAGTTAGTAGCCCTCAGTGAATTTCTGTTCCAGGTATTTATCATGTCTCCCCATGAGTTCTTGTAAAACTTTATCATCCAAAATACCCTTTGGCAACTGGTTTCATGCACTTACCAGTGACTGTGTGAAGGGCCATTTCCTTTTGTTCCTTTTGAACCTGGTTCCAACGCCCTTCTGGTGCTGCCTCCCACATATATTGCAGAGTTATCTAAGAACTGACCTCCATCCACACTCAAATGTCCACATTGTCTTCCTTTAACTCCTGGGGTTTTTTGTTTGGTTTGGGGTTTTTTTGGTTTTTTTTTTGTTTGTTTGTTTGGGGTTTTTTGTTTGTTTGTTTGTTTGTTTTTGTTGTTGTTTCTTTGTTTGCTTTGGGTTTTTGTGGTTTTTGTTGTGGTTTTGTGTGAGGGGTTTTTTGGGGAGGGAGAGTTTTGTTGGTTTTGGGGTTTTTTTGTTTGGTTTGGTTTTTTGTGGTTTTTTTGTGGTTTTGTGTGAGGGGTTTTTTTGGGAGGGAGAGTTTTGTTGGTTTTGGGGTTTTTTTGTTTGGTTTGGTTTTTTGCGTCGGGGTGGTTTTTTTGGTGGTTTTTGTTGTTGTTGTTTTTGGTGGGGTTTTTTGGTTGGTTTTCTCCTCTCTATTTTATTGGGAAGGGGCAGCTGGAAAAGGAGAAGAAGGATGGATGGCTGATTTTATTGGGGGGGGATTTTAATTGGGAGATTTTCTACCATAAGCATGTCTATTTCTCTACCTTCTTTAAATGCCCTAACTCCGTTTAAAAGGATTTTATATCAGTTACAGCAGGACCTTGCCAGTGTTTCATTCCAACCTCCAAGCTACCATTTTTCATATGTCAGACAGCTGGGAGAGTCACCTAACAAAGACTGCACCTTGTCTAAAATTCATGCCAGTTTACTGAACCAGAGGAATCCCCTCTTATAGTAACTCTGGGTTCAGTTCAATATTGCTTTTTCACTCTACATTAAAACCTCCCCTAATTGATTAAAGATGGGTAGAAAGAACTTCACCCAGCATGCCTAAAACAGTGTAAAGTCATACATAATAGCCTGTCCACACATGGAGTTACCCTGATTAACACCATGTGTGGACATTTTTACTCCAGAGTAAGAATTCCTTGTTCCCATTTAGTTCCCCACCACAAACTATACTAGAAATGAGGCAAATTTAAATAAAAGTTTAAGAAGTACTTCTAGAAAACATCATGGCTGTGGTCATCTGCAGATCTGACAACAGGTTTTAGCTTGGTTTGGGGTGGGGGTTTTTTGCTTAATACACATTTCTACTATAAATTGGCACTCTCACCTACAGTCAGATTGAGAGGCCTTGAGTACATGTGATTCCAATTACTGACCCCGAGCTTTGTAATGAGCTGAGCCATGCACTGCAGGCTCAATCCAGAGGTCCTGGGAGTCCATGGAAAGCAAGGGCTTACGAGAGGGAACATTTTGCATAACCAGATTTTTTTTTTCTTATATCTGTTTGTAAAAGCTGTGTAATCTTTTGTGTAGCTCTAAAACAAACAAATTCTTTAATGAGGATTTTGTTTCTACTTCAGAAGAATAAAAATCATTTGCAGAAGCTCAGATTAACGAGTAATGACAGCGTAACAAACCGCTGCACAAGTCATTTCCAAGGGTCCTGTTGAGAGTAGATGCATGCAAGTAGATTGACAAAGAACTTAGAATTATTTTATCAAATCCAGCCATCTATGGCAGCAGGTTCACAGCTCCCATTTGTCTACTTAGGAATTCTTGAGATGGCCTGATTAAGTCTCTGTAAGGGCATCAACCTCTGTCTAATGAACAAAGCTGACACGAAGTCCCAGCTGTTGTGTCTTCCAGCTCATCTCTTTTACTGCAGCTCCCAAAGCCTGATTTTTTACCAGTCCACCTCTCTGTCCCAAAAGTTGAGTGAAAGAGAGGGAAATAAAATTGTACTATCCTTCCTGTTTTCAGGAAGAATGTTGCAAGGAAGTTAATAGAACTCACCTAGAAATTAAATCTAACTGTAGATTTGTAACTGCAAAGGGAAACTCCTTGGGGCCTATGGCAGAAAATGAAGCTACATATTGTCTCTTGTTATGTGCTGCATTAAAGATGCATAAAAAAGGCCTCTTTTCGTACTTAATAGGAAGAATACATCACTGATTGGTACGGACACACCAGGATTAAGAGGATTCATGTGGATCTTACCATCTCCCACAGTAAATATAAGATCTCAAACTCTACATTAGGTAAATCCATGGCTGTTGGAGAGCAAATGACCACTCAGCTCAGCTCCAAACACTGGTATGAGCATGGTACAACTGACATTCAGCTTCTTTCCTCCCTGGAGCAGGAAAACAAAAAGAAGTTCAGCACAGTTTTCAGAGATGGATGCACAGTAATCCTTGGTTATTTTTTGAAATGGCTACTGTCATTATAACAATTGCTTGCTTATTTTGAGTCAAAATCAATGTAGTTTAGTTTTTAATGGCTCTCTGGGCTTGTGTTCATGGTGAAGTTGTCACTTTGTGCATCCCGCTGAATCACCAAAGGCCCTTGGGTAGTATCACTTGGGGACATTTCATGTGCACTTTCCATATCCTTGTGAGGGGTTAATTTGGAATAAATCAGGATGTAGGCACATCCCCATCCTCAAATCCCAAACTATGGAACATCCATATAAATGGCTCCCAGCCTAGGTAAATAAAAGGCAATGGGAGGGCTGTGAGCCTCATCTGTTGCTCTACAAGTACAAAACTGCACCTTCAATAAAGCCCACCCAGGCACCACCACCAGCCTTGTTACAGCATCTTGTAGCTAAAGGCAGAGCTGGAATTCCTTCTAGAATAATTATGATGTCATTCATAACAATCCTAAATTTAGACTGGTTTTTATATAAATTGTATTACATATAAATAGAAATACATAAATAAGTAATATAATATATTTATATATGTGTATGTATAATTACATGGATGCCAGTAGTCCAAGCTCCTATGCCATTTGCATATGCAAGAAATACAGATGCTTGTATCCAAACAAGGGAATCTACCTGGGTTCTGTTTCAAATGCCTAAGACTGTCAGAAGAAGCTTGGCTTTCTTCTTCAAGAGCTTTCCTTGTCACAGACAAAACCTCTTTTCACACTTTGCATGGATCAGTTAAATATTCCAGGCTGGGACTCATAACCCTGAGTACTTTTCAACAACATTGCTTCTAAGCATGTTGAGGTTTTGGCCATTTTGGAGCTTGTATCCATTTTTTACAGGTTGCCTACATTTTCTTTTCTCTCCTGTCTGATTTAGGGAAATAGTTATAGCTCTCTTGGACACAGAACACACACTGGTTGTCCATTAATATGTTTGGGGACTGCTTCTAAGACAAGAGGGGAGTTTATCTGGGCATGAAGAAACGCTTTGATGATGCATGTCATTTCCCTTGTGGCATTATTTGTAGAATTCAGGAATAACTCAATCTGACATTCATGGGGCATTTCCTGCCTCTCCTTCTAGAGATGCATCCTCCCAGCCTCTCAGATCTCACTTCCCATAAATTTCCTTTCCTCTTCTAAACTTTCTCATGTCCCCACACATTGAACTAGCTGGATGTGTGGATCTGCAAGGTGTTTTCCATGAACTGAGCCCTAGGAAGGCTGGGATCCTCTGGATAAACTGGAGAACAGTGTGAGTCATACACACACAGGTTTGAGGGGACAACAGCATCTGCTTTAGACTCTGCTTGGAGCCTCCACAAATCCAACAACAGCAGGGATCAGCCATTATTTTAGCTGCAGTCTAAATAAAATCTCATTATAAAGGGTGGGGAAAATCCATCAGTAAAATAAATGGCTATTCTGGTAAAGGCCATTTCCCCTCCTGATAACCCCGGGAAATCTGAACTCCATCCCTTGTCAAACAAAAGTAATATCCAAGTATGTGACCCAATGATCTCGGGGCACCAGAAAATATACAAATGAATATAAGACATTTCAGTCTTGCATAAATAAAATCCCAGAGTCAGTTGTACCTACTAGCTTCAAACCAGGAATAATTTTCTATGTTTCCTCATGGTCACTGAAGACCTGCATCATTCAGTGCTGTTTCTTCATTGTTTTATGAATTTCCTGTATTATTACAAGTATTTTTTGCATAATTCTAATGAACAAGAACCTATCCTACCCATCCGAAAACAATTCCAGCTTGCCAGAAAACCTTTATCTTACTAGTAAAAACTGTGATTTAAAACAGTATAATGTAAGCAGGCAGTCAGTGGAAAGAGTATGAAGACTGATAAAACTCTGCAACAAATTCATGTGTACTCATTTCCTCCTTCTCCCCCAGTTTCACAAACAGCCTGTTTCTTTTCCTCA